ACAATAAATGACAGTATACCATACCTCCCAAGAAATTCAGACGAGAACCAATAATGAAGAAAAAAGAATGGTGGCCTAAACCATTAATCTCTGAACTCTGGGAGCAGAGAATTCCAGGACAGTCAGAACTACAAAGTGAGACCCAGTTCTCAAAATATGTTACAGTCCAACCTTGAAGTAGATTGATTTCCAGCTTCACGAGGAAACTCCACACTAAATCACAGACTGGCCATACCAGTTTGCACTCCTCCATACTGAATAATCCTTTCCCCACCACCATCTGCTGTCATTTATTTTACTGATCTTGGCTAGTCTGACTGAGTTAAGATGAAATACCCAAATTTTAGTTTGCATTTCCCTGAGGACTAACAATATTGAACATTTAAGTGTTTCTCAGACATTTTGGGGGTTTTTTGTCTGTTTGGTTTTGTGGGTTTTTTTTTAAATAATTCTCTTGTCTAGTTCTGCACCCCATTTTTAATTGGGTTGTTTCCTGGACCTTCAGTTTTCTTGGTTCTTTGTACATTCTAGATACTGTAGCCTGTCACTTTGCCCAAATTATGGTGCCATTTTCCATATAAAAAGCTTTTCAGGTTCATGAGGTCCCATTCATTAATGTTGATCTTAGTGTCTGTCCTATCAATGTTCTATTCAGAAAATCCTTCCCTGTGCTAGTGAGTTCAAGACTATTCCTCTTTCCTATCATATTTGGGGTATATGGTCTAATGTTGAGGTCTTTGATCTATTTAGAGTTTAATTTTGTGCAGGTAGATATGGATGTATTTTCATTCTTCTTTCCTATCATATTTGGGGTATATGGTCTAATGTTGAGGTCTTTGATCTATTTAGAGTTTAATTTTGTGCAGGTAGATATGGATGTATTTTCATTCTTCTACATGCAGTCATCCAGTCTAACTGCATCATGCTTAAGATGCTCTCTTTTCTCCCCTGTGTAATTCTGGCTCCATTATCAAAATCCAGGTGTCCAACGGTGTGTGGAGTTATGTCTGGATCTTCAATTTTATTCCACTGAGCAACACATTTGTTTTTATAGCAATCCCATGCTGTTATTATTACTATAGCTTAATACAACTTGAAATCAGGGACAGTGCTACGTCCTTGCATACATATTCTACATCTTACTAAAGTGATACTTGTACATCCATGTTCATCACTTCTCTATACATAGTAGCCAGAAATTGGACACAGCTTAGGTGCTACTCAACTATTATATTTATTAGATATGTGAGCTATGATCAGAATAGCCACAGAAGTACCTAATTGGGGGGTGAGGGGTGGGGGAAGGCAGGTATCCCAAGGAAGAGAAACTAGAACATAGTGATGGAGAGCTAAATGGAAAGACAGAATAAGAAGATCAATTCTAGAAGGGAAATGGGAGGACAGGGTAAAAGAGAAAATATGGGGAAGTACACTGAAGGCCTGTTGAAAACCCATATAGAAACCTTCTACTTTACAAGTTCCTAAAATACATAATCTATGAACATAGTCTAAGTGGAATCATCACATACTGAGGGAGACAATACCACAACTAGATACCTGCCACAAAACCCCAGTGCTGGGCATGGGTTACATCATTTTGAGTCATTGGCCAAATGGCTCCCATAGACATCTGAGAAATGTAATAAACTTTTACCAAAGCTATTGTTTACTTGCCACAACCTGATGGTAAGGTCCTAATGCAGACCTAAATCACTTATTTATATCATCAAACATGAAGAAATGGAGCTGGTACCCAAATAGAAACTTTTTTTTTCCTTTTTCAAGACAGGGCTTCTCTCTATACCCCTGGCTGTCCTGGAACTCACTCTGAAGATCAGGCTGTCCTTGAACTCAGAAATCCAACTGCCTCTTGCCTCTCAAGTGCTGGGATTATAGGCCTGCGCCACCACTGCCAGGCCCAAATAGAACTTTTACAGTGCTAGAAGGTACTTTATACCATACTAGAGAAGAAAGTTAATCATCAACATCACCCAGTTACAAACCCTATAACATACAACAGTGATCTGACTGCAAGGTATATTGGTATTACTGGAGTAAACAACCACTTTTTTCTTGGATTTACCATAAGATGGAATCCATGACACTGATTTAAGTGGCCATGCACTTGAAATCGGTCATGGGTCTAGGGAAACCATCTTCTGTTATTCTACTAAAGGAACACTGCAATAAATGACTGCCATGAGCATGTTGCTATACCCATAGATCAGAACCTCACTCAGCCAGCATCACAGAAGCTTTTCCTTGCAGTAGACAGTAATTTAAACAGAGGCCCGCAACTGCGCCATGTGCAGAGCATGAGAAACTTTGAAACACTCAGTCTACATGGGATATCTTCAAATTTCTCCATCCCCAAATCTCAAGGATCTCTGCAGACCAAGGTGGAAAGACTATAAGGCCATAAGCAATGGAGGACTCTAAAGAAAGAGCATCTTCCAGGCACAACAATAACGCACATATGAACTCATAGAGCCTGTGGTAGCACAAAAAAAGATGTGTCCAGCTTCAAGCAAATGAGGTCCCAGCTAAGAGGGATACGTGAACATGGAGTCCCACCCCTAAACAAGAATCTGTTTGTAATTGATAACTCCTGGAAAAGTCAGTTCTCTCCAATGGAGTGGCACTGGATATATCAACCACATGCCAGGGCAAGTCCCGGCCCAGAATTAGTTGACCAAGATAAAAAAAAGCATATATTCTTTTTCCTTTCTCTCTCTTCTCTCCAACCCCCATCCCCAACCCCTTGCCATTCTCCTTCTCTCTCTGCCTAGGCCTGTGTCTGTGTATATATATTTTTTATTTTTTTATATGTGAAATTGATTTTCTGTTAGTTTGGAGTTTTAGTTGGTTGTTGGGTTTTGTGGGGAGCTTGAGAGAGAACACGAAGTATGTAAATAATAGTTGGAGAGGATCTGGGAGGAGTTTGTGGAGGGAAAACAACAGGATCAAAATATACTGTTTGAAAAAATTAAATATAAATAAACAAGAAACAGTACTTACAGGAGCATTAAATATTAATATGCAATAAAAGAAGACAATTTTTCTAGTCCACCACCTTAAAAACTCAGCCAGAACTACTGCTTCGAAGACAATTTAAAAAAAAAAAAAGACCTGCATTACATATTGAACTTAATGACAGTACAGAATGTACTTGTTTTATCATTTTGTCTCTAACAAATAATAAGAGGTATCAAGGGCATAGCTATAAGCAGTAAGAAACACTGCTACAGAAAGTGGGACTGGAAATGTAGCTTGGTAGTTTGCCTACCATGCACCAAGCTTTAAATTCAATCTCCAGGGTTGAGTCAAACAACGGTAATCCCAACACCCAAGAGGTAGAGACACAGATAACCATTCACCAATCTATGCGGGCTACAGGAGACAGTCTCAAGACAAAAGAAAAGGAAAGAGGGGGAGGGGAGAGGGGAGAATTAAATAAGATTTTTAATACAATAAAGCAAACCTCAGCGTTGAGTTTTATTGTATTACCAATTTTGTGGAGAACTATAAACATTATGTGTAAATTCTAAACATTAAAATGGGAGGGAGGACCTAAAACTCCCGAACAACTAGGCAGTACATTCCAAAACAAAACATGATAGGTTACCAAGCCAGCAAGCCTTAGTGATCATGCTAAACAATAAAAAACAAGCTTTTCTTCTTTTTTTTCAATCTTAGAGACTGAACCTAAGGTGTTCAGATACTAAGCAATTGGCCCTACCACTTGTGCTATATCCCCAGCCCAGGAGTCGGGGACAGACCGTGAAATTTTAGCGAGTGAATAGCCAGTAACAGTGCAGAAATATGACCCGCCAGGAATCCCTGCACTGGTAAGGCAGAGGCAGGTGGACTTCCTTGCGCTCCAGGCCAGCTATCATACAGAGTTTTAGGTCGGGCAGGACTACATATAATAAGACCTTGACTCAAAAACAACCAACAAAATATTTTTAAAGTCAATACCAAACGTTTTAACCATCACACTTTTAAATTAGAATACTAGTAACTTTGGCAATAGAAACAGTGAAGCTGGCACCCCTCCCGCCCTTTTTAAACGCAAAACTCAAGTTGGGTAAAATACTGCAAAGACTGGTGCTAACCTAAGCATACCTAGCCTCTCAAAAGCGTTTCCCAGGCACCGAATTCCCGCAATTCTAACTTAAGGTTTATAAGCAGTGCTAGGTAAATAAATCACCAACTGTGAGTGACTGTACTGGGTGCAAGATTAAAAAAACAAAACAAAATCAAAAACAAAAAAGTTTGCTAAGTCTTCTCTGAGAGCACCTGACCAAAGGCACTACGTGCGAGCTTGTCCGGCTCAACCACACCGGTGGCTGCCTTCTGAGTCCATTAGAAAAGCATCAGAACTGAGTCCAGCTGCTTTCACTGCTGAGCGCAGAACACCAAGTTCTAGCCCGGGCTAGATCGCCTGCCTTCACCGCGGCATTACCACCGCACAACACGCCCTCTCTCCCTGGCAGTTTACATGCCGCATCGAAATCGCATTTACTAAGCGCCCACTGTCTACCCTGCATCATGGCTCCCCCCACTCCCCACCCCCAGGAACAGCACAAAGAAATGGCCTCAAGACGGAGGAAAGAAAAACGAAAAGATCATCTGCCAGGGCCAAGAACCAACCCGAGCGAGGGTCGGTCTACCTGCTACCTCGCGGATCGGGACATCCTGACCCAAGGGAGGCTCGGAGGGTGCACAGGCCCGGCCTTCCTGGAGTCGGCCGCACAGGGGTTGGTCGGCGTCCCAGACCACACAGGCGTGGCAGTCCGGAGCAACACCACCTCGGATCGTCTACGCGGAGGCCGGCGAGCGAGCTCCCGAACCCGGAGGGCCAGAATGGACTGTCAGGGCCGCCTCCTCCCTCTCAGCTGACTGCCGTGCACCACGGAGCGCCCAGGCCCGTGCCTCCCTGCGATGACCAAACCCAGGCCGCCACCCTTCCCGCTCCGTCCGGACCTAGAAGCGGTTACCTGCGCCGCTGGCGGAGGTCCAGACGCCACCCGAATGAAAGGGATGAAAGTGCGGCCTCCCCTGAGGGTTTTGGGAATCTTTGGAAGACTTGTTCCGCACTAGGTGACAGCTGTTCGCTGCGCACGCGCACGGGGCGCCACCACGGGATCCCTCCGCCGCTCCCCTCCCTCCCGGCTCCTAGGTGGGCGGGAGGCGGCTCGGGCGCGTAGGCGGGGCGGGCTGGCTCTCCCTGCGTGTGGCGCACTCGCCCCCACGTGACCGCCGGGCCGGGCGCTCTCTGGGTCACGTGGGTTTCTAAACTGCTTAAAGGTACCCGACACTGTACGCCGAGACTTCCGCTTCTTGCTTAGTCTAAGTTGGCTGCTGTGTGTTTCCTTTTGCCTCGGGGACAGGCACGTCTCTTCTTTCTCAAAGGAGGAAAACACTGAAAAAGCAGAGCAGTCAGGTGCACCGATCTTTGTCGGATCTCTTGCTGTGTTCCCACAGGGCTGGACCTGAAATAAAATACTACACAAATCCCGCGCCTGCCAGGACTAGATGCGAGTCTATGGGAACCCTCAGTGCAAGAACGGCTGGCTGATTTTTACCTCGGGTGGAGGTGATCAGGAAGAACAGGCCCACGATGACATGGTCCTATGGTCCTGCCCTGGTACACCAACCAATGGACTGCACCTCTGAGCCTCCTTCAGTCAGAGATCCCATGTAAACACAGTGTTCCCAAATTCTTAGTAACCAGCCTGCCCTTGAGCGAAAAGGCCTAATTCTTGGCTAGGGAACCTGAGTTGAGTTACCTTGCTACATGTCTGTGTAAATCTGACTTCCAAGACAGCAGGGGAATCACACTGACTTCAAACTCTTGCTTCCAGATAGGTGGCTAAACAAACCCTAAGTGCTCTGCAAGGCTGAACAGTTTTTACTATCCCACAGTTCCCACTTGGGTCTTTTGTTGCATTTCCTCTAATAATTAAGACTGGCCAGGTATATACAAAAGTGAGCACACAGGGCCATCATTTAACGTGTTGTTTTGTTACAAAACAAAGATTTTTAGTGATGTGGCGCATATCTATAACCCAAGACTTGGGACATAGAGATCAGAGGATTAGATATTGAAGGTCATTCTCAGCGCAAAGTAGACTTGAGGTTAGCCTGGGCTACGTGATACATTGTCAAAAACTGATAACCACTTTTTAAAAAACTATCTCAACATATACATTTAAAACGTACTTAAATGTGTTTCTTTTTTTATCAGAGGAAACACTGTAAAGACAGATGGAATGTGTTTAACTGAAAGAGAATGAGATTTAACAACCTTATTTTTTCGACTGTTTGGGGGAAAAAAAAACAGTACTGAACTTACCTAACTTATGTAGTCAACTGGTAATTTATCTGTATATTGTAGAGATTGCCGACCATCCTCCAAGGTAATTGAATATGCTAAAACCGTAGATACATATCTTAAAATTTACGGGCATTTTGTGACTAGAAAAAATTGCATGTATATTAATTAAATAGTTGAAATGGTTCAATGAATAGGTACTCTTATTATCTTTGTTAAGCAGAGAGATTAAAAAATACATCAAGCCCAGTGTACTGACACCTTTAGTCCAGCATTCAGGAGACAGAGGAAGACAGATCTCTAAATTCAAGGCCGATTTGATTTACAATGTAGATCAGTGTGGGCTGTAAAGATAAACATGAGAAACCTTGTCTCAAAAGAAAGAAGTGGGAGGAGGTGAAAAAGAAGTTTATCCACAGTTGGGTGAATTAAATCAGTCTGAGAGAGACAAATACTTCATCTCATTTATAGGCCCTAGATATTGTATACACACACACTCAGCATACATATTAATGACATGAAAATAAAAGCAGGACTGCCTTGGGAAAGGAGAAGACTAATGAGTGAAAGTGCAATCTAGGAAGGTGTGCTTAAAACATAGTATACTTTTGGGCTGGAGAGATGGCTCAGCGGTTAACAGCACTGACTGTTCTTCCAGAGGTCCTGAGTTCAAATCCCAGCAACCACATGGTGGCTCAAAACCATCCGTAATGAGATTGGATGACCTCTTCTGGTGTATCTGAAGACAGCTACAGTGTACTATTCATAAATAAAATAAATAAATAAATCTTTTTTAAAAAAAAACATAGCATACTTTTAAGAAAATAGCTTTAGTCAACTCTGTATAACAGAAATAAAAGTCAATGTCAAAAATGTGCCGTTTGGCCGGGCGGTGGTGGCGCACGCCTTTAATCCCAGCACTTGGGAGGCAGAGGCAGGCGGATTTCTGAGTTCGAGGCCAGCCTGGTCTACAGAGTGAGTTCCAGGACAGCCAGGGCTACACAGAGAAACCTTGTTTCAAAAAACCAAAAAAAAAAAAAAAAAAAACCAAAAAAAAAAAAAAAAGTGTGCCGTCTGCCCTCCACACCCCTGTGCACACACACTACACCCCCCACACACACACACACCGGTTTGTCGGTATGCCTTGAATCCCAAAATTTGGGATACAGAGCCAGGTGGATCTACTGAGTTCAAGGCCAGCCTTGATAAGTCTACTACTTATCAAGTTCCAAGACAGCAAGGTGTGGAAAGAGATACCTTATCCCAAAAACAAAACAAAAAACCAGAAGTTTTTTCAAAGCTTGCTGGGTGTAGTGCCACAGGACTTTATGGCCTCAGCAATGGTTGGTGGTTCTCCCGTGAGTTCAAAGCCAGCCCGACTATATATAGGTTAACTGGAGCTAAATAGTAAGACCCAGTCTTAAAAAAGAAAGGAAGGAAGGAAAAGAAGAAAGGAAGGATAGAAAGAACTGTAAATAGTGCACATGTATATTTGTGTTTGTGTAAAGAAAAAAAAGTGACAAATTTTTTTAAAAAAGCAAATATAAGTACAACATGTATGCCCAGTCATAAAGGAGGCAAAGGGGGGAAAAAAATAAAACCCAAAACAAAGGACTATCTAAACAAAAGAAGCTATCGGCTGTATTAGACTGGAAACCTAGTGTCCTAGAACAAAAAGCCTGGAGACCTGAACTCCCATCCCTCACATTTGCAGAAATACAATGTTGCACAAATAGCATTTGTTTTAATATAGCAAGTTACATTATCCTGCTTTTATTGTTGTTGTTGTTGTTTGGGATCTTTGATTACTTGAGTTTGGGGGTGGCTTCTTTTGCGCTTCTGTTTTTTTGAGACAGGGTTTCTCTGTGTAACAGTCCTGCCTGGCCTGGACCGTACTTTGTAGATCAGTCTAGCCTCGAACTCTCAGAGATTCACCTGCCTCCACCTGCTAGTGCTGGGATTAAAGATAACACCACCACACCTGCCTAGATTCTCGATTTTTTAATCAGAAGGTTTACTTTCCTGAATTGAGCATTTTTGAAATAATACTCAAAGGCCTCAAGTTACTGCTTGAGGCTTCTTTTATGGAACCTAAAGGGAGGAGGGAATGATGGTGATGGTGGAGATGAGGAGGAGGAGGAGGAGGAGGAGGAGTAGGAGGAGGAGGAGGAGGAGGAGGAGGAGTCTCTTTTGGGAGGTGTTTGTTTTTTGAAGTAGGATCTTCTTATGTAGTTGTAATGGCTAATTTTGTCAGCTTGACTACGTCTGGAATCAACTAAAACCCAAACAGCTGGACTGTGAGAGCTTTTTCTTGTTTGGATCATTTGAAGTGGATCATTTAGACTCAGACTAAATCTGGTGTGCACCTTCTGATGGCAATCCTTATAAAGGAAAAAGAGAGCTTTTTTTTTTTAAGATTTATTTTTATTTGTTTTATGTTTGTGAGTACACTGTCACTCTCTTCAAACATACTAGAAGAGGGCATCAGATCCCATTACAGATGGTTGTGACCCACCATGCTGGGAATTGAACTCTGGACCTCTGAAAGAGCAGTCAGTGTTCTTAACTGCTGAGCCATCTCTCCAGCCCAGAAGAAAGCTTTTGCTTTTTGGCTGCTTGTCCACTTGCTGATGCTGAAGCTTTAGAACACACTCGTTCAGGATTTCAGCATAGCCCGAAGATCAGCTAGAATTTCTAGCCTCGTGGACTGTCAACTATCAGATTCTTGGCCTTCCTGTCAAGAGACAGTTATTTTTGGACTAGCCTGTAATTCACTCCAATAAATGACAGAACCTGCACTCACACACAAATGTACACACACACACACATTTATTCATTCTGTCAGTTCAGTACCTTTAGAGAATCCTGACTAATACAGTAAACCATCGTGGCTTTTTACGTGAGGTGAGCCTCTAGCATCAGTCTCTCACGTGCTAGGTAGACAGTCTTGAGTCACCAACATCTAGTAATTCTTAATTCTTTTGCGGGGGAGTGGCAGGGGGAGGGGCCAGTTAGAGACAGGGTTTCTCTCTGTAGCCCTGGCTGTCCTGGAAGTCAGTCTGTAGACCAGGCTGGCCTCGAACTCATAAGCCTGCCTGCCTCTCCCTCCCAAGTGCTGGGATTAAAGGCATGCACTACCACTGCCTGGCATAATTCTTAATTCTTGAAATGTTCCTTTGCCTGTAAATCCTGTCATTGAACTTCACAGCCTGTTCTGAAACCAGATCTCACCACCTGGTCGTAATAAGCCAATTAAAAGAGGACAAGGAATAGAAAAATAAATAAATTTATTTGAAAACAGAGAAAGTGGATTTATTTAATGTTCATTGGAAAGAGAGATTAAAAAAGAAAATCAATGAGTTCCCTGAGATTAAAATTTAAGTAGAGAACCAAGATATGCACATCTAAGCACTCACCATCAAGACTTGTTTTCAACAACCACCATTGACTAAGCCTCATTCTTATGCAACTGGGTAGTCTGACAAATTGCTAAAACTATGAAATCTCTTTCCTGGAAAGTCCCCTTTCGGTGTGGTGCCTTTTCCTGATCCCAGCATGAGTTTCCTATTTCTTTCAGGTCCATTGTTTCAATAGTCTGGAAGTCAGATTGAGAGACATGTTGTCTCTTTATAATATATTCATTTCTTTCTGACCTATTACTCTACCTTGAAACACGACTCTCCTTCCTAAGACCACCAAAGACTTCAGGAAGTATCCCTAACTGTTCTCTTGGATGTCTCCAATGTGGATAGGACCGAAGGAGACCCAAGAAGCTACATGCTTCTATTTTCCTGTCCCCATCTCTCATACTGTCTAACCTCATCAACAGGTCCCCATTTTAAGGAATGGTCCATGTAGCCCTCTAAGT